GCATGTCCATTATATTATTTTCATAGTAAAAATGAGTAAAGAGCCGGGGTTGCGATACAGTGAGTTAAACCATTGCCTGTAACACTGGCATCCCATAACAGCGCAAGTTCAAGTTCCTGTTGCCCCATTTCCAAACCAGCTCACTGCTATCTGCCTGGGAAGGTAGTAGAAGATGGCCCAAATACTTGGGACCTCAGCAACTGGGTGGGAGACCCTAATGAAACTCCTTGTTCCTGACTTCAGCCTGGCCCAGTCCTGGCCATCACAGCTACTGGGGGAGTGAATCAGTGGATGGATTGTATCTCAATCTCTCTCTACCACCACCACCTCTTCTCTAGATCTCTGCCTTTGAAATAAATAGATCCTTTTTAAAAAAATGTGTAAAGCAAGATCCTTACCTTTAAGAGTACACAATACAAACAAAATAAAGAAACATGTTTCTAATACAGAAACATTCATTAAACTATCTTGTAGCTTTTTAAAAAGACTTATGTATTTATGTGATAGGCCAATTTACTGATAGAGAGATCTTCCACCTGCTGATTCATTCCCTAGCGGGCTGGGCCTAGGGGCAGGTGCTTCACATGAACCTTCCGCGTGAGCAGCAGGGGTCTAAGCACTTGGGCTATCTTCTGATGCTTTGCCAAGCACAATAGAAAGAGCTGGACTCTAACCCATGCTCAAATGGGATGCTGGAGTTGCAGGCAGTGGTTTAACAGGCCACTGAACAGTGCCAGCAGAACGCCACCCATTTTTTCAATAGAATTTTGATCTTGTCCTACAGCACAATAAGCATGTTTTAACTGTTTTATTTGTTAAGTCTATAGCCAAGAATTCATTAAAGAAAAACATGAATGTAAAACAAACAGGTATGGTACACAAGACATCAATGTTCTATAAATCCTTCCATTTGCTAAAATCTCAGTAATTGACAATTTTTGAAAAAATAAAACTCCAATGAACATCAAGTTCCAGGGTCAATATTGTGGACTAACAGGTAAAGCTGTTATCTGTAAAGCTGGCATGTGGGTGCCAGCACAGTCCTGGCAGTTCCACTCCCTATCCAGCTCTTTGCTCACGGGCCTGGGTAAAGCAGAGAAGGATGGTCCAGGTGTGGAGGCCCCTGCACACACATGGGAGACCTAGAAGAAGCTCCTGGTCCCTGGCTCCGGTCCAGCCAAGCCCCAGCCGCTGGCCATTCAGGAATTGAACCAATGGATGGAAAGCCTTCCTCTCTCTGTCTCTCCCTCCCTATCTCTAACTCTGCCTTTCAAATAAATAAATCTTTTTTTTTTAATGAAGTTATAATAATTTGTCTACCTATATTTCTTTTTTATATACTTCTCATTTTAGACATACTTAGCTCTCAATTATGCAGTTTCTAGTCACTCTTATAATATCAAAGGGAGCCAAAGAAAACACTATATTTGAATATAAGGTTAATTTATGACACTTACTGAGCTAAATAAGGTCTTTCACAAGTTGGGCACATAAATTCAGATACACATCCTGAAACAAAGCTCACTGTCTCAAAGAAAATAGCCCAGCCTCGGGCAATGATCTTGATCGCTCAAAGTAGCCTGTGGGCACCAGGTCCTTCTGAACTGCAGGTGCCTCAACAGAAAAGACAAAACCAGAGTGAAGGGCCTCCTTGCCATTTTCTCCACATTCAAGTCACTACTGTAGTACCAGTCATTTTATTTGGTGACAAATTACCCACTAGGACCTAAGGAAAAAAAAATACTCCTATACCCAACTACTACTGGTGGACTAGCCACCAGTTGAGACAGATGCATTTTACCAATTAGTATTTATTAGCCTTCTTCACAGAAGTGGGACTGCACCTGGAGTCACCTACTCCCACCTTTGTAGCAGTGTAATCTAGTCCTTAGAAAATGAACATGACCAACATGGCACACTTACTCCCCCACTGGCTATCAGTTTAATAGGCTGATGTGTAGTTTATTATGAACCTCTGGTTTCTAACTTACCAATGTCCTTCAAAAATCAAGGAAAAGCACATTCTTAGTTGTTAAAACCTTCTTGATGAGCACATCGCAAACTACTAATTCAATTGTGTGATCCCAAAGGGAAATTTATCTCATTAACCCATATTTCATAGTAAGACAAGTGGTGTATCATAATAGCTCTTACCAATTATTATAAATTAACAAATAAAAACTGATCCTCAGGTACTTTGAAGCACTTCCAATGTAAGCACACCCTTCCAAAGAAAAAAGTCCTTTATTCTGGAGAGAAAACAGTTACTATATTTAACTTCAAATTTTCTCCGTGCCCCTAATGAATCAAACCATGTCAGTAGTTCTCCTATGAGGCCACAGCTCCCTTATCTCCCTTATTAATTTAGCTTCAGTGGCCTAAACAAGACTCTAATTCCTACAGAGTTCCAGAATTTACTTCTTTCTTTGCAAGAGACTGATCTGCCAGTGAGGGTTTGCAAAGGTCTTCTTAACTCAGCATCAACAACAGTCACACTTTACCAGACCACACATCCCACGGTGGTCCCATAAGACGGCCTTGCGGAGTGATGTCATGCCCACTTTAGTTTACGTCAGTGTCATCTACAGTGTTCACGCGACAGTGCAGCAGCCTGATGATGAGTTTCTCAGAATGTACGCTGTTACTAGTAAGCGCATGACTACACACTGATCTGCACCATTTATGGAGCGACCTGAAAATTTAAACGTAGTATAGAGCATTGAAAGTCTTTTTAGGGGCTGGTGTTACAGCTCAGCAGGCTAAGCCTTTGCCTGCAACATCAACATCCCATAGGAGCTCTCCTTCGAGAACCATCTACTCTGCTTCAAATACAGCTCCCTGCTAATGTGTCTGGGAAAACGTTAGACGATGGCTCACAGGCTTTGGCTCCTGCCACCCCCATGGGAGATCAGGTGGTGATCCTGGCTCCTGGATCCAGCCGGACCCAGCTCTAGCCACTGCAGCCATGTGGGAAATGAACTAGCAAATGAAAGATCTGTCTCTCCCTTTAAAGTAAATATTTTAAAAAAGAAAAAAGTGGGGCTGATGTTGAGGCATATGGGGCAAAGGTGCTGTTTGTGATGCCAGCATCCCCCATGGGTGCGGTTCGCATTCAATCCAGCTCCCTGCTGATGGCCTGGGAAAGGCCAGGGAGGAGGGGCCAAGTGTGTGAGCCCCTGCCAGGTAACCAATCCAGATGAAGCTGGCCTGGCCCAGACTTGGCTGCTGTGGCTACCTGAGCTGCGAGCCAGTGGACAGAAGACCTGTCTCTCTGTGTGTATCCATCTTCCCCCCATTTTCTGTAATTCTGAGTTTCAAATAAATAGATCTTTTTTTAAAAAAATACTTATAGTAAGTACAAAATCAGATCTAAGGGCAGGAAAAGTGTGGAAGACACGACACGTTATTATGCTGAACAAGCTACATCTCTTTTTATGAGGAAGAAGTTCCTTGGGTAAATAAGGAACTGGGACCAACGATCTCAACAGTCCCGTCCAACTATAACATTGTGACTCAGACTCACAGACTCAACACAGAAGGGCACGTGAACCCAGTGTAACCGCCAGGACAGGTATGTGATCCAAAGAGAAGGCATACACTGCAGTAGACAGTCCCTGCGGATTCAGTATAAAAGCTCTAAAAAAACTCAGAAAGGGACAAGATCAATGAAGAAAGCAGGTGATTCTGCACTTGGTGTACAGATCATTTTTCCCAGCGTAGCTAAATGTACATTATGGTGCATGGTATTATTAAATAATGGCTTCTTGCTGACCACTTTGATATGCAAAGCCATTGTCTTAAGTGCTGGCTACTTCCTTTGGAAGCAGCGGCATATGTGTGACTAATGCTACACTTTATGTATCAGCTCACATAATGGCATAGCCAAAAATAAACAGATTTCAAACAGATGTCCATCTTGATTTATAAATAATGACCTAAGGGCAGGTGCAGGAGCATAGCAGGGTAACCCTCTGCCTGCAGTGCCAGCATCCCAAATGGACACTAGTTCTAGTCCTAGCTGCTCCATTTCCTGCTAATGGCGTGGGAAAGTAGCAGAGGATGACCCAAAGCCTTGGGCCCCTTGACCTAAATGAAAGAGCCAGAAGATGCTTCTAGTTCCTGGCTTTGGATCAGTTCAGTTCTGGTCACTGAGGCCTTTTGGAAAGTGAAACAATGGATGGAAGATCTCTCTCTGTCTCTCCTTCTGACTTTCAAGTAAAATAAAGAAATAAATATTTTTAAAAGATAAATATAATCTGTAATAACAAAGAAATAAAAGAAGATCTCTAAATTTGAAAAATATGGGGCCAGTGTTGTGGTGCAGTGAGTTAAGCTGCCACCTGAGACACCAGCATCCCATTTAAGTACCAATGTAAGTACTGACTACTCCACACCCAATCCAGTCCCCTCCTGATCTGCCTGGGGAAGCAGCCAAGGATGGCCCTGGTCCCTGGACCCTCGGACTCCTGTGGTAGATGCGGATGAAGCTCCTGGTTTTGGCTTGGCTCAGCCCCAGCAGTTAAGGCCATTTGGGAAGTGAACCAGCAATGGAAGTCCTTTCTCTCTCATTCTCTCTCTCGCTCATTTTCTCTGTGTCTTTCCCTCTTTGCCTTTAACTTTACCTTTCAAAGAAATATTTCAAAATAAATAAAATTAAAAATTTAATGTGATTCCATTTTAAAATATATTTTCTAGCTTTGACAATAATTTTAACAAAAAATAAAAGCATATCAGATTAATATATACGATCCTACTTTAAGATCTTAATTTACATCTTTATCGGAGATGAAGCAAATCTACATTACTTCTAATGAGGAACGACAGTACCACAAATATTGAAGCAGATGCAAATTCCACTCATGACCTTGTCCAACACTATCTTTGGCTGCATGGACACACGACATACAAGCAGGGGAAATCTCCACTGAACTGATAAGCTCTCAGACGTGATCAAGAACTGCCATTTCTTTCAAGCCAGCGGACTGAAGAGGCACACTCACCCGGCATTGTTGCTGACTGCGGTTAACCCTTTCACTCCAGTCTTCAGTAAAGCTCCTATAAGATTCTCTGGAATTCCACAGAGCCCAAAGCCTGGAACGAGCCAACAGGCAGACAACGTGTGAAAACGCAGGTGGTATATTTTTTAATAGGAAAGAAAAAAAAAAAAAAAACTACAAAGGATATTACTAGATCTAGCAAGTAAAATACACAGATCTATCTCACCAACTCGGCAAATGGCCTAATAGCTGGAGCCAAATCTTGTCCATCATTACAAAGCACCAGACGTCACTATCGAGTCTTTGAATCACATGTGTGAAGCCAAGTACAGTTTACATGGCTATACATTGCTCGGATGCCCTTAGCCACATATCAGAGAAGAAGCCTCCTTCAGACTCGATCATTTCAAGTTTTTTTTTTTCAAATATTTCTGTCTTAAATTTTACCCGAGTAGACTTTGTAGAACTAGAAACTTCAGCTAGTAACCTTTCTTTACATCTTCCACAATTCCTCAAATACTGCTGGAACTAAGACGAACGGTCAGTGACTCATCGGTTGAGTGACTGAATGGACCAATAGAGTGATCCTCCTACAAATAAGCCTTGATCTCATTTATAAGAATCTGGCAGCAAGCTGCGTTTTTGTGTAATTTTTCTGATTTTGATTAATTATTTTCTTAATTTTGTTTGTTTTCTTTCACTTTTTTTGAGAGGCACGGACAGAATGTGAGAGCGAAGAGAGAGCATGCGTTCCTGTCTACTGGTTCGCTCCACTGCTGCCCACAGCAGCCAAGGATGGGATGGAGTAGGGCCAGGGCCAGGACCCACGGACGCCATCCAGGTCTCAGGGAACACAGTTACTTGAGACACCCTGGCTAGTTTCCAAAGCCTGTACTGACGGTAAGGTGGAGTCTGAAGTTCACAAAGGAAAGCAAACTCAGGTACCCGGAAACATGACTCAGCCATCCTCACGGCTGTGTTCAACACCTGCTCCAGGCAACAAGGCAGATGTGTATCAGGCAGCAGGTCTCAGAGATACTCCCAATGAAAAGAAGCAATACAATATGAATCTTGTAACAACAGAGAAATGACTATGAGCTCTCCATCACTGAAAGATTATAAAAAGAGGTGACCAGATATAAGCCAATGAGATCAATATAGTTCTCAGAAACAAAATGTTGTAATAAAATCAGAGATAACAATGTGTAACAAATAACTACAAATAAGAATAGTAACTAAATAAAGATTATATTAGGGATCAGCATAGTGGCATGGCAGCCTGACATTCTGCCTGCAGCACCAGCAACCCAAATGGGGACCAGTCTGAGCTATGACTGTTCCATTGCCGATCCAGCTCCTGCCTCTGGCCTGGGAAAGAAGTGGAAGGTGGTCCAAGGAGTTGGGCCCTGTACCCAAGTGAGAGACCAAGAAGCAGTTCCTGACTCCTGGCTATGGATCAGCTCAGTGCTGACCACTGAGCCCACTGGGGGAGCCAATCAGTGAACCAGCAGATGGAAGCTTTCTCTCTCTGTGTCTCTCTCTCTCTCTCTTTCTCTTTCTGTGTGTGCGTAAATTTGACTCTCAAATGGAAAATAAATCTTTCTAACAAAGTGAGGAAGACTAGATAAAATAATTGATGTTTCTGATCTGAGTTTTGCCACCATGATTTCTCTGCTTTAAGAATATTACCATAAAAAGGAGAGCCGTGTTAACACTCACCACCAACCAGAACTGTCGCTCCATCAGGGATGTCCTTCACAGCTTCTACCGCATCTGTGTAAAATTTGGTATGGCGATGACTACTGGTGGAAAAGTAGCAAACACAACCCTGACAAATGTGAAAAAATAGTCAGTGAATAATCATTTGAAGACACACATTTACCTTGCATATACAGTGACCTATTCTCTTTATGATCATTTCACTATCCTTGTCTTTTTCCAGACTGATGACAATTATATATTATATCTATAGTGTACAATACGATGTTTTGATTATTGTGGAATAACTGGATCAAGCTATTTAACATATTTGTTACCTGACTTACTATTGTTTTATGGTGAGTACAATGAAGATCTGCTCAGCAATTTTCTCATATTCAGTAAGTGTCAGTACCCGCAGTCACTGCGATGCATGGATTTCTCGTATTCCTTCTATCAGAAATACTGTGTCCTTCAAACAATACCTTTCCAACTGCCCACGCCCCAATCCTTGATAATCACCATTTTATTCTCTGTGTTCATGGCATTATCCCAACTTCAAAAGAGTGGGACTTCACCTGACTCCTTCTTAGAAGAGGGATGAGCATTCTCCACCCATGCACGATCACCAGCGTCCCTTTAGGATCAGTGTTTCCTATTACAAAAGCGACAACCACCCAAAGTTCAAAGTTACACTCACCGTGGCATGAAGTATCACTCTGACAGTAACCTCACCGTCCATTCAATACCTAAGAACTGACCATGTGCCAGGTTCTCTGCTATTTACTCCGGCAGAGTTAGCACTAACATAGGATGACTGGCTGCCCTCTAGGAGATCAAATACGATGTGGTTAAAGCTACAAATGTCTACATCATTGAGTCTGTCAGCCAGTATTAGCCACAAAATGTCTCCTGAACGGAAAACTAAAGAACAGGACACAAAACAACTCGTCTCCCTATGACACTTGAAGTGGCAGACTACCGTCTACGAGGAAGCTAGCCTTACCCCAGGGTATTGTTTGATGTCAAATCAATTGCCTAGCGAACACTCGTGAGCAACTGCCAACGCGGTCGCTTTTTGTGCTTTACCCACAATGCAGCCACAGGAGGAAAGTGCATTCCATCACTCCTGCTCAACTTTGCCTTGCCTATATTCTCATTTTATAGCCCGTCTACAGAGAGCAGGCTGGAATGGCAAAGGGATTCTGACACATGCCACCTTAACGAGCCCCACCCGAGGCTCACATCCTCTGCCCGAGACAGTACGCCAGACACACTCAAATGGCCCTGCTCAAAGGAACGGCACACAGGCAACCCCACCTTTCTTTTCTTCCTCGAAAATCTCCTTCCACAGAACATGTCAACAATGTTGAAAAGGAAGCAATTACACAAATGATTTCTGTCCCTTTAGATTTCAACCTTGGCCAAGTTCAGTGGGGAGGTTTGGCCACAGTGGCTAAACCATAGCAAATAAGTACAGGCAAAGAGAGAAACGGAAGGGCCTGAAGGACAAAGAGCCATCCTTTTCTTCTAGCAAGGAAACATCTTTTCTTAAATAAACATACACAACCACATATTTAATCTTAGAAAGTAAAAGTTTGATAGCCTGAATAAATGAAGAGAAGGCTTCTAAAGTTAGGCAAACATCCTAGAAGAACAATACACGGATACCAAACTCAACCAAGTCATCTACCAGATCAAGACTGCATGGAAAGGCAGCAGCCTGAACCCAGAAAGGAGACCGAACAGCAGCAGGAAGCCGAGGGCCACCTGAGCCACAGCTGCTCATCAAGGCCCAAGGCCTAAAAGGAACCTATGCATTTGTTCTCTTAGCCACCTTTCCTCCCAAGGCCACCTTCAAGACCCATACTCCCAAACTCTGAGTAAAGAAATATCTGTGCAGGATCCGGTGCGGTCGCCTAGTGGCTAACGTCCTTACCTTGCATGCCCCAGGGTCCCATATGGTTGCCGGTTCTAATCCTGGCAGCCCCACTTCCCATAGAGCTCCCTGCTTGCGGCCTGGGAAAGCTGTCGAGGACAGGCCAAAGCCTTGGGACCCTGCACCTGCGTGGGAGACCTGGAAGAGGCTCCTGGCTCCTGGCTTTGGACTGGCTCAGCTCTGGGTCTGTGGTCACTTCAGGACCTTCTCCTTCTCTCTTCCTCTCTGTTATCTGACTTTCCAGTGAAAATAAATAAATCCTTAAAAAAAAAAACAGATCTGTACATTGCCAACACTTTCTAAAAATAGGCAGCTGGAGAAAAGTATTTCTCTGATAACATTTACTTTTTTTCTCCTAGATAGCTGGATTCCAAGGAGAGCCTCTGGATGTTCATAAGTTGACTTCTCTCTTTGAACATATTTTCAATACTGGTGCGAGCACTGTGGAACAGCAGGCAAGCTGCCACTGGGAACACCAGCATCCCATACGGAAGTACCAGGGTTCTGACACAACTTCTACTTGTAATCCAGCTTCTACTAACGCACTCCTCAGCAGCTGCAGGCAGTGAGTCAAGTGGTTGGATCTGGCCTGCCTGTGTGGGAAACCCGCACGTTCCTGGCTTTGGTCTGGGCCAGTCTCAGCTGTTGCAGATAAATCAGCAAATGGGCGATCTCTGTCCATCTGTCATTTTTAATAAAAATGAAAACAAATTAATATTCTAAATGATTTTATATAAAAACTTTGATGAGAACAGGCCTATGTAGCAGCTGTAACATTCCCCGACCCCCAGGGAAAGAATACCTCAGCCGAATAAATAAAATGAATTGAGATGGCCTTTATTCCAGGAAACCGCGGCCACCGGATTCCCTTCGCGGTGTAGCAGACGGACGGATGTGAAAGAGTGGGCTGCAGCGGAAGAAGAGCCAGGAAGAGAGGTGCAAGGGGCTTTGAAATCCCTCTTGACACGGAAGCTGAAGCGGGGGTCACTTCGGCCTGTCATCGGTGTGGCGGTGGTCTCGCTGCCTCCGGGCCCGCCAGAACTCTGCCATCTGTTCCGGGTAGCAGGGCTCCAACCTCCGCCAGTTATGGGGCAACCTTCACCAGCTGCTACCAAAATAAATAAACCTCAAGTCTGCAGAGCTATCCGGAAGAATGAAGAATAGTGGAAGGTACAGCCTTGCCATGTCTCCTGGGGACTCCTTCCCTCTCACGTGCGTACATCCACAAACCACGTCACTTCGTGTTTAACTCCCCCACCTTTAGACTCCGTTTTAGTGCTGCTACTGCTTTCTGCCCCTACAACTGAGGGAATAATGATTGATTACTGAAATGCAAGAAATAATCAAAATTCTTGCAGGACACAGCTTTTTGCCACTTAAAATATTTCCCCTTTTTAAAAATCCTTTGTATCTTCACCCTTGTCCTCCTCTTCAAAATCTTTATCTCTGAAGTCTAGATTTTATCTCACCCCTGTCTAAGCCATTCTGGTCATTTTCACCATTACTTCTTCTACCTTAATTTTTCTCTTTCTGCAATTCAACATTCCAGAACTTACTGAAAAAGCATTTAAAATGGTCTCTCCATGAAAACCCACAAAGCATACTCATCTTCTACTGTTAAATAATCTTAATGACGCAGAATGGCACAGTCCACTCCCATTTATCTCATCACCTTAGAGTTAGATAAATCACCTGTTGCTATTTCAAAATACCTGAGGCTGGTTACTTCTTACAGAAAAGCAGCCTGGCGTAACTCACAGCCTGGGAGGTTGACATTTCATCAAGAAGCAGGCCCATCTCTCCAGCCTCAGGGGAAGGGTCCCCAGGACCACGTCACGACTCGAGACGCAAGAAGAAAGGGAATGAATGGCCACACTGAGACAGCCAGAGAGAAGCCACGACCAGACCTGCCTGGTTTTGTCCTCACAACCCACCATCGCAGGAATGAACCAGAATCCAGCAATTGTACTCATCCCCTACAAGAAGAAGGTTCACAAAGAACTAATCATCTTTCACTAAGAAAACCTAAAAGAGATTCCACCACCTCTCAGCACTGCCAAACTTCCAGCACAAATGAGATCCAAACCTTAACAAAATGACACGGCTCACTTCAGCATCAATATCTGCCCAACAGAAGCGGGCCAATGTGGATGGAGGCAGGTGAAGACGGTTACCTTAGCAGGATACACAGAGAGGAGTGGATAAAGAAACTGGGGTATCTGTGGAATACTATTCAGCCATTACAAAGAATAAGATTATACCATTTCCAACTAGATGGTCCAACTAGAGACCATTATGCTCAGTGAAATAAATCAATCCCGCAAGAACAAATACATGTGTTCTGATATAAAGCAACCTTCACACAAATTCTAAGACCAATAACCCTTTCTTTTTTCTTTTTTTTAAGATTTATTTATTTATTGGAAAGTCAGATATACAGAGAGGAGGAGAGACAGAGAGGAAGATCTTCCGTCCGATGATTCACTCCCCAAGTGAGCGCAACGGCCGACGCTATGCTGATCCAAAGCCAGGATCCAGGAGCCTCTTCAAGGTCTCCCACAGGGGTGCAGGGTCCCAAAGCTTTGGGCCATCCTCGACTGCTTTCCCAGGCCACAGGCAGGGAGCTGGGTGGGAAGTGGAGCTGCAGGGATTAGAACCGGCGCCCATATGGGATCCCGGGGCGTGTTCAAGGCGAGGACTTTAGCTGCTAGGCCACGCCGCCAGGCCCAATAACCCTTTCAATACTGTTTTTGCTGCAACTCATAGGTGTTGACATTTTTTATTTTCATTTTTTTCAAAACAGTTTCTTTTCTCTTTTTCTTTTAAAAGATTTATTTCTTTTTATTGCAAAGGCAGATTTACAGAGAGGGAGAGATAGAGATGAGGATCTTCCATTTGCTGATTGACTCCCCAAGTGGCCGCAACGGCTGGAGCTGAGCTGATCCGGAGCCAGGAGGCAGGCGCTTCTTCCGAGTCTCCCATGCGGGTGCAGGGTCCCAAGGCTTTGCTCTTATTAAATTGTTAACTGACTCATAATATAATAACATTATTTTCTCGAAGAAGGTTTTTTTTTCATTTCTTCATCGACACACTGGTTATTCAGTAGTATGTTATTTAACTCTATGGTGTTGTAGATTTTTTAACTTTATTCCTGTTGTTGATTTTGTTTCATGGCTTTTCATTTAATGGAATATACACTAACTGTGTAGTAGAGACTACCATATCCAGATGTGAAAATACAATGCAGTGTGCATCTCCACTTCCACATCAGAGACGGACTCCCAATGAAACTGTTGGATATGTCTTGACAATAGGATGCTGGACTGTCTGTCATTGTCTGTACCCACAGTGTCAGGGTACACCGAATGGCACAATGATGCGCTTATGACTGCTTATGAAGGACTATACTGTTGTAATAATATGGGGGGAAATCAGTTGGGGGAGGGGGTTGGGGAAGGGTAAGGAAATCCCAGAGTCTATGAAATTGTATCAAATTAAAAATAAAATGAAAAAAAAAAAAGATGATGGTTACACACACTTACAGACCTGCAAAGAATATGATATGGTTGTCAAGAGGAGAGACTACGTGCTGAAATGTTTCGGCTGTCGGGCAGGAGACCAATGTCTAACAAAGCTGGAATGTTCACCTTGAACCAAACACTGAAGGCAACAGTGCCAGTTATGCACTTAGGCCATAAATAAATGCCAAGGGCCTCGTGTCATTACTGAGCTGAGTGGGTCTCTACAGCCATGGGGGCGTCCTGTTTTTGACGAAATGTGTATGTTCTGTTCCAACCCTGGAGTTCAGTGCTCTGAAGAAACGGCTGTAGGAGCAGCTCATTCCTTCCAGCAGAGGAGAAAGCCTGAGAAGTTTACGAAGGGTTAAAACACTGCTGGGCGGGAGGGGGGACATGGGGAGGTGGCACATTCAAGACCAGGGAGCTGCAGCCCTGGGGGGCGGTGCCTGGAAAGCACAAAGATGTGAAGGTCAGGGAGGGGTGGAATCAGACTTCAGTGAGGCGGGGCTGGAGAGGCAGGCTATAAAAGGCTTAGAGTACACCGCAGAATTTGTTTCATTCTCCAATGATAAAGGAACAACTTTTCCAACAGAGCTGCCTGAATCAGAAACCTGCCCAGGAAACTCTTTCCTTCTTCTTCCTCTCATTTGCTGTATTTTGTTCCAACTATACCTTTTTTAGTATAGTACACCTAAAAAAACTAATACCTTTTTTAAAAACAGCCTTTTTTTTTTTAAGCCTGGTGTTTAAAAAAAAAAAAAGCAGGGACCATGCTACAATGAAACTTACAAAATGAGCAAGGATTAGAGTCAGAAAAATAATTACAAAAAGTAAAACGCAATTGTCAATCCGGAAGTTACAGGGAAGAAACAGACAACTGTTAGAGACAGCACTGGGGGACACTTTAGAAAGAGGTGTGAGCACAACGGCTGATCAAGCGGAGCAGAGAAAGGCAGCGAGGACCTTTCCAAGGGTCCCAGCTTTCTCGCCGAGTAGCTCCAGGTGCTATCAACCACAATGGGGAAAAAAAAAAACAAAAACAACAACAAAACAAGGGAAAGGAAAGCCACTCTACCATCAGACCTTCCTGAGGCAGAGAGAGCCGTAAGTGCAGAATGACACACAGGTGAACTCCCCAGTAAACTCCAGCAGAAAAACAGCTAGGGATGCTCCAGGGTTGGACAGAGATATAACCAAAGACAAACGGTTTAAAAGAAGAAAAATAAATGACCTTTTAATTGCAGTTCTATAATTTTTCCCCACTAATTTTTATTATGAATACAATGTTGAATGCTTCCCATGAACGTAGTAATGAAGCAGATACCCTCAGATGGCCTAGTTTAACTCCTATCTAACCAGCTGGTTTTGAAAGCGCCATGCTCACACCAACAGCATCAACCACATCTGAAGCTAATTAATGAAAAGCAGGGGGCCCCAGGCAGGGGCGGGCAGAGCCTGCTGCCTCATGAGACTTCCAGCAACTCTGGCACCGTTCTCCAGTTGAAGAGACACGGAGTTTGCATATCATAAACTGTTTAAGTTTTTGAAAAACCAGTTATCTCATTTTACCTGTTGGATACAAAAAGCAGACAAGCTTTCAAGTTTACTGTAAGACTTCCTACAGCGTTCCTTCCTCCACGCATTAAACTTGCTAAACTTCTGCTCCTGCCATGGAGTGTGTAAGGTTGAAGGAAATACTGATATACATCTATGTTACAGTGCAACAGGAGCCGGAAGTGAGGACTTCAATGACAAAGAACTAGTCAGGGCACCGAATGCTTTCAACCCAGGCAGCATTCTAGAAAGCAGGAGTTGGATCTGTGACAACCAAACCGACAGCTCAAACCCTGATTAGAACTTTCAAGGAGAGACGGTAAAAACCCATCATTTATAGCTCATCCATCCAGGAAGAAGGCTGCCGGAATGGGAAACGGTTTAATGATTACACTCAAGGTGAGACTACAGGAGTAAGTCAATTACCCTTCTGCAAACACGCATCTGCCAAAAGCAGGAATGCTCCTGACCTTGGCTCAAGGGTATCACTGTGTCCTGATATAACTGAGTTTAAGCACCGCAGCAGTCTGAATGAAGGTCAAGTTCCCTTTTAGTAACGTTTTACTCCTATATATCTAAAGCCACTTGCAGGGACCCAAAGGCTTTCTAAACCGCTCATAGGAATAAAACAGTCCACGTCCCAGTCATTCCCTAGAACTAACCCGCCCCCCACTCCCGGATGCAGACTGGATGCAGCGGGGGAGGGGGGAGGGGGCAGTGAACAGCAGAGTTACGCACGGTGTGCCTGCTCCATACCCATGGCATACAACCAAGCCCAGAACGATTATTTAATAAGCTACCAAGGAACACGTTTTACTTGCTCCTCTAAGCCTCTCGGGGTTCTGAGATAAGCTCCCCTCCTGGACCTGGCCGACTAGTCCAGACTTGGACTCACAGGCAGGAACAGCACATTGGGCAAAAACCACATGGAACTACAATCCACTCTAATCCGGACAGTTTCTCTGGATACCACTTAGTGGACACCTGGCAGAAAGGGCAGAATGAGGTTTTCAAAGGAAAGCCCCTAAGCCAGAGCCCAGAAGGCTTGGAAGGCGGAAACGTCTAACGCCCTTGGTCAGCGAAGTTTGGAGAGCCCGACCAGAAGGCGGCCGGCTTCAACGCCGCGCCAAGCAGACGCCGGGGCGAGCGCTCCAGTCCGGGTTCCGTCTCCCACCGCCGCGGCGCCGCACTGCCATATAGGGCAGGAGAGGATGGGAGAGGCATGCCCAGCAGCCGCCCCCTTGGCAAAGAGCGCGCCCAGCCCAGGCCGACCCGCTCCGGGGTCTGGGCCTCCACAGGGGTGCCGGTGCCACGAGATGTCCACTCCCCGCGTGACTATCGACCCTCTGCCGCCTTCACTGTCTCCTCTCAAACTGGCGCCCTCACCCAGTCAGGGCCGCCAGCACCCTTTTCCCCAGACGGACGCCGCCCGAGCGGCGCGGGAGCGTGCCAGGGCCGCCGGCGAGCAGGCGTCCTCCCGCCCCTTCCAGCCTGGTCCGGAGCACGCCTTCACCGCATCTCGCCCCATCCGGCGAGGATGCAGAACCGCGCAAGGGAGGTCATCTCCGGGGGCGGCGGCTCATCCCGGTGCCTGACGCAGCGTGCCACGGGTGCCAGTTCCCGGGCTCAAACGGGGATGCATTCCCGCGCGTGGTCTTGGTCTTTGCCACATTTTACCTTGGCCCAGGGGCTTCGGGCGGAGGCGCAGAGCCGCGGCCCGAAGGAGAGGAGTTTGAGAGCCGCCATCTTCAGGGCGGGCTGCGGGAGGAAACGGCGGGTTGGAGCGCGCGACTGAGGGTGCGAGTGTCTGTTGCCGTGGGCCGGCTCAACGTCACGGAAAAAGGAGCGAGAGGGAAGGCGCGCTGGGGGCGGGCTGGAGGCTCGACTGCACGTCGGTGACGTTCCGGGGCCTCCCGCGCCGCGCGCCCGCCGCCCACTGCTGGCTGTGGGCGTCTTCGAGAAGCCGGCCTGGGAGGGGCCCGGGGACCGGAATGGAGGGTCCGCGCAGCGCAGGTGGGGCGCGGGAAGGGCCCGAGTCTCGGGCTCTTAGAAGTAACTGTGTTGGCGTGCACTTGCCGCTCAGGCCGCTGGAACAGCCCGTCAACTCAGGGGACATGGATGTCCCTTTTCCCCTCCCTCACGGATGAGCGTTGGCCAGGCGTTTTCTGGCGCTGTAGGGACCCCCCGCGGAGCCTGTTGCTTTCCTAGGTGAGCTGCACGTGCTCCCGCTGGCAGTGGAAGCTCTGACAGCCTGCCATCCCCTCTGGTGAGATGTGACCAGCCAGACCTGCAGAAGGACAAGACCTGCGGCACTAGCCTCAGACCCAAGTTTAGCATGCCATCTCCCCATCTTGTAAGCCTGCGTCTTTTAGCATCTCTCTGCCGCTGAATTCCACCAACCCAAGGGATAACCCAGCCAAGGCAAACATCAAAGTGCGTATTGCTTTTGTCTGTGATTTTAGGCAAGTTACCATTCTGCTAAACCTCATCCTCAAATGACGATTGTAATACCCAGACTGTCATAAAGTTTATGTGAGATCATTCCTGCAGAGCTCCGGCCCCGTTAGGCACATTCAATAAATGTGAGGTGTTACGCAGCGTGCATGCCAGTGGCAATGGTGATTTGACCTGGTACGCCTCCTACGTCCTCTCCGAGCATTACATTTTGACCATTTTCTTGAAGTCAGGGGCCAAGTCTGAGCTCTTCAGAACCATACACTCCCCAGAGGGTAAGATCAAGTGAAAGTACAGTAAACTTTTGTGTTTGATTAAAGACTGACCAAGTTCGGGGAATGTGACTGTTAATTTTGAACCAAAGCAAGTCATACAAGAAAATTAAATGAGATTATAACTGCCGCAGCAAGTAAAAGTACAACAAGGCAAAGAATGCTGAACAGTTTAAAGTCTCCATGAGCACATGTCCCCAAGTCTTCTGTTAACTGAACATCTTATTCCCTTCAACTGCGATCATTTTAAACAAAAGCCATAAGGGAATTAAATCTGACTCTGCAATTATATAGGATAAATTAACTGAGAATTTTCAAACTTCAGGGAAGTTTTGACACATTTCACTAAGCTGAAATGAGAGAAAATTAAAGTATTGGAGTTGTGCTGATAACCAGTGCTAATACGGAGGGTGAAAAAGCTAGCATTCCAAAGGGGTCTGTTTTTCGGCTATTTTCCTTCCACGGGGCACGTGAAATGGAAAAATAGCACTGGCGACTTTGTCTACAGTCATATGACTCATTCCTCTTGGCTAGCCTCAACCTGCTGCTAACGGCTGTGGAAGACACACACTTGAAGCTTCCTGTGTGTCTGAGTCTGATGAAAAAAATTGCCCCATTACTGTGTGGTCAGAACTCACTGGCCTGAAGTCTTGATCCTATAATCTCCAATAATATGGGAGGAGCTTCCATTTGAACAAATCACAGATTTGTACAGATTTCCCTTTAGTCCCATGAGGGCCATTTCAGTGTGTAAATACTTGCTTCTTTTTTAAAAAAATGAACTCTGAACTAGCAAAAATAGCTCCGCCTTTCTTCAAAGGGAAGTTTGTAGCAAGTATATTCTGAAAGCTTTGCTTAGTAGAATCTCATGGGGCTTAATTTCCATACTCTTAAAAACTGAGAGAATTGAATGCAAAGCTTTTAAAGAAAAGATCTCATCCCAGATAAAGAGAAGCTAATTTTGTATGCTATGAGGGTGCTTAAGTGTGCATGAATCATATGATAGCAGACACTGTCAATATAAAGTCATGATATTCTGCTTGGGTTTTCATCTTAATTCTAATATATAATGCATTGGCATCTCTCACTATTGAAAAATAGGACATCTTGCCCTCACAGTTTGTGATGTACCCTCCAGGCTGGTTAGTAAGGGCACTGGAAGACTTCTTTTTCATGTGTTGACCCATTGGCTTGAGTTAGTTAAATATGAGGTCATTTCAGCAAATTGCAATAATGCATGCATCCTTCATCTTATGTAATAGTCTTCTATTATATAACCATATTCCCTCGGACAATTTTCCTCTGCTAGGCTTGAGCCACATAAATCTGCAAGTCTAAGTATTGTTTTAAAATGCTGATCACCTGTGAGCTGGTGTTGTGGGGTAACAGGCCAAGCTATCACCTGCAATACCTGCATCTGATCTGCACACCTGTTCATGTCCCAGATGCTCCACTTCAGATCCATCTTCCTGTAACAGCCTGGGAAAAATGCTGGAAGATGACCTAAGATCCTGGGCCCCTGTCACCCAGGTCGGAGTCTTGGAAGAAGCTCCTGGCATCACCATGCCTTAGCAATGGCTATTATATCCATTATGGGAGTAAGCCAGTAGATGGAACATCTCTCTCTACAACTCCAATTTTCAAAATAAATAAACTTTTTTTTTAAAGTTACAAATCATTTTGCAATCTGCCTGTTCTATGAACTATTTTGTAAAACTCGCAGTGCTTCATCTTCATTAACTAAAATCTAACGTGTGCGCAACGAAAGATTAAAGTTGAATAAATCAATTAATGAACAAGAGGGCCACAGAAGTCAAAACTCCTAGGATAAAAATTAAAATTATGCCAAGGTTCTCAGGAAACATAAAGGAAGAAAACACACTACAGTGATTCTTCCTACTCCCCTAAGTCTGATCATGTTACTTTTGCCCTTAAGAGTTCCCCCACAGACACAACCTTTGAAATCCAAATCATACCTTTCTTAACTAGCCTAAAAAAGCAACATGCCCTCCAGGTCCTCTACCTGCCATGGTTCCTTTATATTCTAAACTCTGTGTGCTTCTTAACTTTCACATGGGGAGCTTGTGCAACCTCTGAACCAACTGTCATCAGTGAAATGAAAAGAAGCCAGATTCTGTAAGGAGGGTGTTGAGTCACATCTTAGCTCTGACTGTGGGTTTCCTATAACACAGTAGTTAAAGAGAGCTTAAGGAATGCCAAGCTATAAGGTCAGATCCGTACCAGGGCCTGTGCTGTTTCAATATTAACGGATAATGTCCAAGCATTCATTTCACAAGAAAACACTTAAGACTGGGTAACTTGTATACAGAAGTCTAGCCCTCAGAGTACTGCAGGCTGAAAGTCTAAGATCAAGACATTAGCATTTTGGTATGTTAAACCCAATTTGACCCAAGCTGCCTCCACTTTGAATTTTTACATAACAACCTAAAACCTAACTTAGAATGTCAACAAACTGCAACCTAACAAGAATGGATTCTTGTACGAACAAGTGACTCTCAGCCAATCACAGGCTGGCAACAGATTTGCCCGTGTCTGTGTAAGGCAAAGGCCTCGACATGGCAAGCACAAATGAGGCACCTGTGGAACTGAGCTGATCACATGTCTGCATGACACTCCTTTCCCAGTCTGTTAATACTGTCTGCCCACATTGCTGAATTTCCAGTGGTTCCAAGTGCTGTCTGATTCACAGATTGTCTTCATTCAAAAACGCTGCTGACTGCTTAGTAAATAGTAGGTGAAGATCCTCATGAATTACACTTTCCTGGTGTCCTTGCTTGGAAGAAAGGACAAACAGTTCCCTCTCACCTCTCTTGCGGGTCACTAATCTGCATGCGGTCCCACCCTTACGGGCCCACCCCTGAGCAGTAGCCATGAAGCTTTAACATAAATTCAGGGAAGATACCTGACTATAGCAAATCTTTGAAAGGTTTGTATTTTATTTAGTTGAAAGGCAGAGTTACAGAGAGAGAAAGACAGAGAGAAAGAGAAATCTTCCATCTGTAGGTTTACTCACTAAATGGCAGTGATGGCCAAGGCTGGTCCAGGCTGGGCTTGTAGGGTCCAAGCACTTGGGCCATCCATCCTCTCTCTGTCACTTCTCTAAGGCTATTAGTAAAGAGCTGGATTGATAGTGGAGCAGCCAGGCCTCGAACTGACACCCATATGGGACGCCAGCTTCATAAGCAAAGGATGTTTTATGCCACAATGCCAGCTATCTTATATTTTTATAAGAAAAACATCAGGCAGGAATGAAACCCTAGACTGTATGGTTTTAAAGACTGCTTTTACCTTTTCAATCCTTTCTTTCTAAGAAACCACTGGATCTGACCCCAACTCGCCATTTTCACTAATTCTTGACTAGTTCAGAATTCCTTTGATCTGGGCTCTTGATTATTGCACTTCCTTCCTGTGCAGATGTCCTTTACCTTTCAAATTTAATCAGTCTTCTAATTGTCATCTCAAATCCAGATCTGGTCTTCTAAAATCAAATAAAATATTTCAAGAAAATTTCATAAACTGTAAGTTAAAATTCAACGTCGGGTGATAACCAAGGTTTTAAAACTAAAGTGAACATAATAACCTTAAGGGTTGTCTGGGATATTTCTAGAGTCCACAAACAGATAT